TTAGGCCCCTATATTACCTGGACCCCGGATAGCCTACCTTATGGCCCTGGCATAACACGGAAAACATGATGAGGATGACTCCACTTTACGTTCTTCGGGGTCTAGTTAAACCCCGATGTTTGCGGCCAGCCGACTGAAGGTTCGCGCTGGCATGACCTGCACCTCGTCAACCACCAGCAAACCCCACTCCAGTTGCTGCAGCTGATCCAGTATAAACCTTCACTGAGCAAGAAGAGTCTGGCCATGTACTCGTTTCAGAGGCTCCCTCACCGTGCAAGAACCCCAAGGGTCCAAAGGACCCAATAATCAGGTACTTAGGTTTCGGATAGTAGTTATGTAGGTTACTATTTGGGAGAGTATATGATTATTAGGTACTTGGACCCTTAGGGGAATATCTCAAAGCTGAGGTTGTCGGACTCCAGAGTTTCCTAAACGCTTAGGTTCATGTCCGAGACCCTGAACCATGAACGGTGTCTCATGCCTGGGCTACGCAAACAACCAAACAAAAAGGGCATGAGAAGTGCTTGCCGGTGGGCTGTGTATCTCCCCCTCTGCGACCAGTGAATCCGAGCATGCTGTACCTTGGGGCTTGGTATAGGGTTTAAAGTCTGGTCGCTCTGTCGAGATCCTCTTTTTTGCGGTCATGCCCATCAACAGATTTCTATGACGATGAGCTGTTTATGTTAGTTTTCATGCTCATCATCTCTTCCTTCCTGTGGGGTTGGAAGCAGTCAACATCAATGGCCTGATGTGTCAAAGCCTCGGCTTTCAGCAGCCTCTACTTCTTCCATGACTAGATAAAGTTTAGGGTTTCGCCCTTGACGGGACATTCCCAGTGACTTTGATCGAACTTCGTCGAGTTTGTGCTTGACTGCTCGGACAGCTGTGTGTAACTTCTCAGCCTGTCTCGCACTAACTTCACACGAGGCCTTCTACATTGCCTGGCTTGAGCCCTCCACCATAGCTTGAGCCCTTCACCATGTTTGAACTTGCAAGGCCACTAGACCACTAACTTGTCAATCAGTGTACACGTGTATGTATACGTACGTCTATATATATATATATATAGGTAATTATAAATATTTTTCAGTTTTTTCATGTGTTCATGTGGCGACGAAATCTATGTTATGAGAAGTGCTATGCAGGTAATGCGGAAGCTATTACTTTGTTATTCCCGGCGTGGTGATTTTTATTTCTCTTTCTTTGTACTGTATAGTACCACCACCACCACCGCGACCACGACGACGACATTTGTGTATATTTTTTTATGTTAATTCGTGACAATCTACTTGCCTAGGGTTTAGGGTTAAGGGTTTAAGGGGTGTGTATATATATATATATACATACATAGCCTATATTCACACACGCCTCATGTACAGAATTGCAGGGAAGTTCTCTAGTCGTAACAACACGAAACCTCTTAGATAAGCCAGAGGCGCGTAGAAATCACAATGCAGGCACGGCGGTCAGCATCCTCGATCGGACGCTTCTGCTCGGCTGTGAGGGTGTAGACATCTTCCGGAGGCAGGCTGGTGTAGAGCCTTGGCAGTTTATCACTCTCAGGGTGGAGGCCCTGGTGGTTTGAGACATTCGAGCTTAAACCTTTAGGGACCGGAGTTGGTATAATATAGGCGCCTTAATAATTAGACTAGGAATTTGGGTCCCTTTACAGTATAGTATAGGTACTAATTTAGGCCCCTATAGTATCTGAAGCCTCGTGAATGAACCAGTCGCCGTCGGGGAACCCACAGCTTCCCGACTGGTTGCCCTAAGCCTACATCGGCCTCAATGCCCCCACGTTGTATAAGACGGAAAGTGATCCCAGGTTTAGGTTTATGACTCAATTTATGACATTAAGACCGGCCGAGGTACTGGATCTGGCGCCGCCACTGGTCGACGGCCACGGCCGTAGTGGTCAGTACCAATGCTCGCCGGCCCACGCGGCAGCAAGCGGCAATGCCAACGAGTGTCTTGCCAGCACCGCAAGGAAGCACCACGATGCCACTCTTGGCGACATCGTCCACAGAAAACCTGCTTCAGGTGAACTCAAATCCAAACATCCTAGACACTGCAGCCTACGGTTTCGTGGCCTGAACGGTTTAGCAAAGGTTCCTCAAGTGAACTTTGGAGACTTCCGTCCTTCAAACACCACCAGCAGCTACATAAGCTAGGGGGCCTGCAAAAGCACTGCTCCAAGGCCTGCTTCAAAAAACAAACCCCAGCCGTAAAATTTACATGCCATTTTTGCACACTGCAGCAGCCAGGAAACATTTTGGAGAGTGCTCGCTGCTGATATGGTCGGAGATTCACCGTTGGCCTGAGGACTGCAGCCAGTTGAGGGTTGGTGTCTTCCCGGTCCCGTCGAAACTCGTACTCTTGAAGCAAGGGCAAGGTCCTCGGTGGAGGAAACGCGAGCAGCACCATGCAATTCAACAGCTATTCACAGAGGCATGTGTCAGAAATACCGATGTACCTGTGCATGTGTGTGTGAGAGGCTGGCATAATCCTGCATGCAACTCTGCGTAATTAGTTGTTTGGCGTATCTCAAGGATTCTCAAGGCACTTGTGCTGGACGTCCATGTGCATACTGGCACGACTGTGTGTATGAATGCACATGTGTGCTTTCATCGAGTGTGTATGTGCGTGTGCAAAAAGTGTGAAGGTACCTGTCCGTCAGACCTGCTCCATTGTATGCGTGTACGCATGTATGCATGCACGTACTTATGTATGTACGCACACGCGCATGTATGTGCGCATTCTCTATGTCCAGCCTGGTTGTTTTGGTCTGCGCCCGTATCGACTTGGGCGTTCAGTTGGCAGTAGGCTACATCTCATCATGTCAGTGCGGCACTCACCAGCAGAAAAGTTATCTCCTTCGCTTTGTTTTTTCTGTGCGTTGACAAGCAAGTGCGAACCTATCACAACAATCAGCCAAGAAACAGTTGATGAGCTGCCAGCTTCAACTTTTCCACTTTCATGGAGTCCACCTCCACCACGTGGCTTTCTTGAGCCAGTTCCTCAACCAGGCATGCGGCCACATCAGCATTGCTGCACAAATGCCGTAGAAGCGGGCCGTCTTCCGACTCCAAGAAGTGTCTGCCATCTCTGAGGATAAGTCGAAGCTTTCCTGTGGATTTGCCCTTCTCCCGGATGAACTCCAAGAAGTTCTCGTCTACAACATTCTTCGACAGCTTCCGCAGTACCTTGATGATCTGCTCTACATCAATTCCGTTGGCAATGGCAGCATTTAAGGACAATGCCGTGATCTGGTACTCGTGCACGATCTGCGGCCTACTCACTGGCTCTGAGACTGCGATAAGGAAGTCGGCTACTTGCGCGGCTTGCGGATGAAAGGTCTCGAAGATGATCCGCCCGTTTTCACATACCCAGATAGGTCTGCTGGCATGATCGGGCTGCATGGCTCGCACAAGCTGTCATGACAGGCCTCCCTGCGCAGCTCGAACCTTAAACATCCTTAAACACTCTGTTTAGGTAGAGACGACGTTGACCAAACGTCTGACCTATGGATGTAGTGAGTGCATGCCTTGACCACCTGCATGTTCTCGAAGCACTGCGACTCCGTCTCTGACAACACTTTCAGATCAACATCATCAAGGCAGCCTCATTCCGTCCATACAGCTGGTCTAGCACACGATTGAAGCCCTGCTGCCTTGAGCCTTGCGAGGGACGTGGTGGCTGCGCAATGAGGCCTGCAGCTATCCAATGGCAGATCTTACCCCCTCGCCCGCAAAGATGAACCCGGAGAGCTCAATACCCCTTAATTGAGGAATATACCTTAAATCATAATATTAAGGCCTATAATATAAGATATATTCTTTAGTTTATAAGATATATTCCTTAATTAAGGGGTATTGGGCTCTCTGGGAAAGTGTCAAAGCACCCTAAAGCCAGCAACCCTAAGAGAGTCCCACAGTTTGAAGACTTCCTCCCAAAAGCCGCCGAATGTAGGTTTTGGTCATTTGGGAGTTTCCGAAAATAAGGGGTACCTTATTCTGGGGTTCTTATAATCAGGATCCTACTATTCAGGGTGCTAGATTAGGGTCCCCTATTTTCGGAAACCCTCATTTATAAAATGGAGCATGCCGACCGAAGCCCCTTAAAAGAATGCGAAACTCTACCAAAAATGGTTGAGGCTGTTTTGCCTCGGGCTTAGTTGGGGGTTTGAGATTTAAGGTTCACACCCTGGTTATTAACCCTGAAGATGAGGTTTACCGCCCTTAGCCTCCTTGCGCAAAAGGAAGTTTCAACTGGGGTTTCGACTTTAGTGCTTCTAGCTGTGTCGTGTAGTAGATTATTATATAGGTTGGGGATGTTCGGGGTCTTCAGGTTTCCGCATTTTGTGTTTTGTCTTCGGGTTCTGCGAGGCTTCACGCGTTCATAATGCTTCTGAGGGCTTAAGGCCCAGTGTCCAACTCGAGGGATTACCGTTCCTCATTGCAGAGAACTGTAAAGTGCTTTTAGGCGCCATGTGCAGTCGCTCTCGAGTTTATAAAGGGTTTCACACTATTAAGGCCTTTTAAACCCCGAAAGTATCTGATCAGAAGCCAGATTTTAGAACAGCAGCCATGTCCTGGAAAGCAACCCAGCAACACAACACCTGCCCACGACCGGCAGTGGTGGAAGCTTGCATGCGCTGTCTGCCGTAGGGGCTGGGGTTTAGAGTTTAAGGTTTAAGCTGGCATGATTTTAACCGGGTTTTACACATTTAAAGTCTATCGGAAACCCTGAGGCATAGTGTTTCCGGCAGCAAACTCGAACGACCCTGACTTTGAACCCTCAGCCCCAAAAGCTACAGAAGGAAGTCCCTAAGCCATACTCATTCCCAAACCCTAAACTCTGAATATTATTAATCCAAAATCCTAAACCCTAAACCCTCCTAACAACTCCCTTGCTGAAACGCATGGGGAATCCTCCTCAGATACCGCCTGCGGCAGGCTGCCAGCTTGCTCCTCGAAGGCATGGTCGTAATGAGCAGTGATCATCAGTAGCGGTAGAAGAAGAAGTAGTAGTCGTCGTCGCGGTCGTGGGAGCAGTAGTCGTGATGGTGGTGGTGCTGGTGGTGCTGATGGTGCTGGTGGCGGTTGTAGCAGTAGTAGCAGTAGAAGTAGAAATGTGAGTGGCAGTGGTAGTAGTAGCAGCAGCAGCAGCACTATTAGAAAGTACTAGCAGCAACAGCAGTAGCAGTAAGGCTGTGGCCGCGGCCGTGGCAGCGGTAACGGCAGTGGCACAAGCAGGTGGTAGTAGCCGTCGTCGGCCTCGTCCTTAATGGTTGTAGAATCAACTTCTATAGCACTTCTAGCGGTAGGAGTAGACGTAGACGTAGAAGTAAGTAGCAAAAGAAGACGTAGCAGCAGACAGCAGCAGCAGCAGCAGCAGCAGCAGCAGTAGTAGCAGAAAGAGTACAATAGGCATCCTCGAATCCTCGAAGTAGTGCGACATAGTGCGACGAGTCGTAGCAAGCGGAGGCGCGGCACCGGCACCTGCGATTTGAACAGTGGTTCGCCGGCGTACACGTTAAATGCGGCTTGCCCTTGAGACTTCGTGGGTGATCGCAAGATCGGCTATGGACAAGACCAAAAGCAAGTGGTGTCCGGCTTGCTGCACAAGGCCGGTGACACAGCACCCGGATATACCCGCATTCAGCCATGGCAGCACTAGGCAAGTAATTATAAGGTTTCGGACGCGAAGGAGAGCGTGAGTTCCTCCACCCTACCAGGGCTGCCGCCGAAGCTAGTGAACTTCCAACTGCTCCAAGGCCTCGCAACCAAGTTCCTGCCTCCAAAACAGAGATACACCAAGCCTCCAAACATAATCTAGACTTATCTAGATAAGTTTACGTTTACAAGAGTGAATGTTGGACTCCTCAGTTCTTGTGATATACAACCTAGCAACATGCGTAATCTTAAGTATCCTGTTCCCTTACTCTCCCAACCCTGCACACTGCATCCCTGGACGCCCAAATCCACAACCTTTTTTTCCACAAGGGACTCGGCTGCTGCCCTTACTGCCACAACCTGAACCCCGAAACACGAAACCAGGACACCCTATAGGGCTCCAGTTACCTAAATAGTGGGTTGCAATGTATGGTGGGTAACCTACTATTCAGGCAACTGGAGTGCTAGGGCCCCGCAAATAATAGCGGCCAAAGCTCTGCCAGGATCTGCTTCACCTTTTTCATAGCCTCAAGGTGTGCCAGTAACATGTGGGTACTCTAAACCTGGGTCCTTTCTAGGGTTCCTTACAGGGATCTAAAGAGGTTTCCATAAGGGTACCATGAGGGCTCTATATTACAATGCGCCACAGTCGTCGGAGGAGGAGCAGCGGTAGGAGGTAGTGGGTAGTTGTCGTCGCAGGGTTTGATCATCATCCACATCACTGTCATCGTCACCATCGCCATTACACTCGCCATCGTGGAATCATGCTCATGTTCATCGTGAGACTCACCACCAACATCATAACCAGAACAGCAAGCAGCAAGGACCGTCGCCGCTAAACTGATAACCCAGCAATCGAAAAGGCCCTTGATACGAGATCTGTCTTGGGAATGCTGCCATGGTAGAAGCACACATGACGTTTGTGTCAAGCAGGGTCACATGAATGCGACAGCTGTCACCGTACTGGACACGCCCGGCACGCTGTGTATCAGCAAACAAGCTAGCAAATCCTAAACCCTAAACCCCTAAGCCCCTAAACCCCTAAACCCAGAACCCCTAAATCCTAAAGATGTGTGCACTGAGATCAGGGCCACATCCCTTGCCAGAAGACTGGTGGAGGCCTCTCAGAGGACGCAAACCCATCTCCAAGATATGAGAATTTAAGCTTAGGGCCTAGGGCTCGGTGGTGATAGGGACCTGGTATAAGTACAGAGCTCCCAAAAGGAGGGCTCAGATTCCGGAACGGCGCCAATGCCCCCCAAAGCTTCATGAATGTTCCTTCATCCGAGGGTGTTGAAAAGCTGACGGGGCTCGAACTAGATTCCGGGATCAAGCTTCTCGCAAGTAGAACAAACTGTGGTGCTGCAATCGTGCTGAGAACCCTAAACCCTAAACCTGAGCATCGCCCCTGTTGTGCAAGTGCTGCAGCCGCGCTTTCAGCCAGACCACTCCTGCAATCCCCGACTCCCCAGAGAACCCGATACCCCTTATTAGCTAAGGAATATACCTTAAATCATAATATTAAGGCCCCCATAATTTAAGCTATATTCCTTAATTAAAGGGTATCGGGTTCTCCCGATGGCAAGCCGAGATCCCAAAACCAAGAGGCATGAAACTCCGAACCCCCACGTCTGCCACAAATCCTGGCACCCTAAATCCTAGAACCTAAAGCGACTCGGATTTAGGGTTTAGGGTGTTAGCTCTCAACATCGTAAGAAACTAAACTATACTAGGACTTATAAAGCTGTAAACAGTTCTGCCCTGAGTTTTGCCTAAGCCCCACATCTGCAGCCCTCAACCCTACAACCTAAAAGCACCAAGGACTCTCAGAACACTACAGCCCCAAAGCCACGAACACACTGCAAACACCTATGGCGAACCTCTGTGACACTCTTAAGCAAAACCTACAACCCCAAACAAACCCTAAACCCAAAAGCTAAATCCTTAACCCTCAAGAACCCCGCAAACATCCAGGACACCCTCCTGCGCGCCTCCATTGCTTCAGAGAAGGTCTTTGCCTGAGGCGCTGCGTCGCTGAAGGCTGCGATGAACTCGCGAAGCACCGTGCCAAACCTTCAATAGGGGGTGTAGGCTTTAGAGTTTGCAGGCTTAGGGTTTAAGATGTAGGGCTACGATTTAGGAATCTATGATCTATGCTTTCGCAACTCGGTCTTAACAGGTGCGGTCTCTTGGTTCGCAGTCGGTGCTACCGGCTCGCCAGCTGTGCTGTTCAGATGGAAATCCAACAACTTACCGCTACAACCAAGACTAGGGCCAAACGCATTCCGGCGGCAATATCACTGGGACGAGGGAGGTTTCAGGGCTTAGTGTTTTGGGCAGACTATGCTATACGAATATATTCTACCACACATTAATATGACTGTTATTCTTCTTACTTTCGATATATCATTATATGGTGCTTAGGAACGGACTCGAAAGCCATAAGAGCACAGATCAAGGATCCAGTTGGGAAGACGATTTTGGGCTTTGTGGTTTGTGCTTTGGGTTTAGGGCTTAGGGCTCAGGGTTTGGGGTTCAGGGTTTGCGGTTCACGGGGAAAACGTCAGGGCCAGGGGTGACTGGGGCTAGTTCTCTAAACTAGGGTCCCTTTTAGGGTTCCGTGCTATTTTGGAGCTAACCATTGGTTCATGGGCATCAAACTGCTGAAGCAATGCGAGCCCTAGGCCAAGCCATGCCAGCTGAACGAGTCGACGGTGATGAAGTTGCCTTGGATGAGCATTTCAAGCTTTCGCCAGCAGTAATTACGACTGGGGCTCAAAGGCATACGTCCTAAACCCTCAACCCTAAGCCCTCATACCTTAACTTATAGTGGCCTTAATACTCTGATTTAAGGTATGTTCCTTAATCAAGGGGTATTGGGCTCTCTGGGGAACCCCCAAGTTGTTCTTTGCAGTTCGGGGTCTTTGCTTGAACAGAAGTCTCTTCACATCCAGAGAGCCCAATACCCCTTGATTAGGGATTATACCTTAAATCATAGTCTTAAGGTCCCCCTAAAATTTAAGGTATATTCCTCCATAAACCCTAAACCCTAAACCCTGAACCCTAAACCCTGAACCCCAAACCCTAAACCCTGACCCCAAAACCCTCGACGAGCCCTCCGCATGTATATCCAAGGAGCCCAGGTTTTCCTTCGCCTGGAGCTGCTCGGGGCTGAAGATCCTCTCCATGTAACCTGCCGTTTAGGGTTTCGGGTTCAGGGTTTCGGGTTCAGAGTTTAGGGTTTAGGGTTTGGGGTTTAGGGTTTGGGGTTTAGGGTTTAGGGTTTGGGGTTCAGAGTTTAGGGTTTAGGGTTCAGAGTTTAGGGTTTCGGGCTTGGTCAGGTAACCTACGGTTAAGGGCTTATGGCTTGGAAGTTTGGTTTTGAGGTCTAGGGTCTCGGATTCCTGCTTCAGGGACGTACGGGTTTGTGAACACGTTTTGCCCCATACTTTGCAAGGACAAGCCCGCATTGCCGGATATTTTGTGGTAAAACCATAAACACAGCCACACATAGGAGCTGCAATGGAGACTACACGCCACTTATAGATGCCTTTTAGATCCGGCATAGAACCTTTATAATACCCTAAAGGTCCAAGTAGCTAACAATCATATACTCTTCTGAGTACTAACCTACAAAACTGCTATCCGTAACCCAAGTACATGATTATATTAGGCCCTTTGGACCCTTGGGGATAGATCTCTTATCGAACCCTGAAGCCTTCTGGAACCCATCAGTGGAGACTATGGGTGGTGTTTGCTGTGGTGGGTCGGCGGAGACCCTAGGGTTTCAGGGTTAGGGTAAGCAAACGAAGGCCTAGGTAGTGGGGGCTATGGAAGTGGGGTTTATACAATTTACGAGGGTTTGTTGACGTGCGCAGGGTTTCTCGGGTTTGAACAACAAGTAACAGCAACAACATTATTAGTAACCATTATAAGAGCTGCAAGAATAGGAACAGCATAAAGAGGCATAACTAACAAGTAAGGGCGTCATCCGACATTATGCCCTTGGACATAAGGAATATTGGGTTGACGGGTAGAGAATCCGTGGGCCTTGGGGACTGTACGGCTTGCAGTTGGTCTAGGCTCCAGGACCAAGCCCTGCAGACCCCGATCTTCCCAAGACTGCAGGGCACCATCGATAAATCGCCAGAACTCTTTCTCGATCACCACGAGGTCGCCGTTCCAGCTGTCACCTTGATAGACCCGGTCAGAAGGTCTCGGGTTCAGGACTGGCTGCTCACGAATTACTGAAGCTAGTTTAAAGTCAAAGTCTACATGATGACGGCCATAGGTATCGTCGTGCATCATGACCGCCAGACTGACATACCAGCAGTGACACGGCAGCTGGTCACAAGGAGCCGGCGTTCGATTTTCAGGGATGGGTGCGGAAGACACCATACGTCGATGTCTTGGAACCTTCAGCAGTGTCAGTCAGCACATGCACATCATTAGGATGAGCCTAGTAGGTCCTGAACGGTGCTTGAAAACTTGCGGGTAGCTACCTAAAGCTCATCATCAATGATGACTCCTGAGCCAGAAAACTCTGCTTGAGAACACATTTCGCGCCCCAGGTAAGGTACGTACAACCTTAGGTACGACTACTCATGATCTGCAGACTTTCGAGCTGTCGCTTCGGCTCACGGTTGTTCCAGATTGGAAAGTTCTCCAGATTAGGGTCCCTTTTAGGATTTGAGGGTCCTTTCTACAAGGCCACCGTAATATATTGGCGATCTCATTAAAGGAACCCCTAATTTACAGAACTACTCATATGGATGTCAAGGACGTCCAGGCAGCTCAGCCACAGACCTTCCAATATCTCTTAATTACGGAATATATCTTAAATTCTAGTAGGATCTCTAACATGACTCACAGTCATATTCTTTAAGTACGGGCATGTGGAAGGTCTGGGAACGATAGGAATCCATTCTTTGCAGCACGTGCTAGATCGTCCCAAGGGTCTGGGTACTCACCATGCGCAGTAGAAGCCCTGACCTGCGGGCACCCTACTTGAAGGTTCATGGGCAGTTATTAGTAGGGTTATAAGTAGAGTAACTATATGTAACTATACTTATAACCTCCCTAAGCCCTAAACCCTAAACCCTAAACCCTTAACCTATTAATTTATTAATTAATTAATTAATTAATTAGTTAATTAATTAACAGACTTATAACCCCACTTATAACTGCCCATGAACCCAACCCAAAAAGCCGGAAGCGAATGAGGCTCTGACAAGCTTCCCAGGGCCTTCACGCTCTTGGTATCCTGCACCAGGTCGAGGATTCGCCCCAAATACATGTGCAAAACAAAGCAGCTCACTTGCCCTATGCTTCCAAGGACCTTATAGTTAGGGGCCCTAGACCCCTTAAGAACCCAACAATGAGGTCCCTGGAAGCATTGGGTTATTCAGGTGAGAGCCCCAAACACTACAAAAACCCTATAAAAAAAACCGACAAGCTGCTCAGCGCCCTGACACTCCAAAACCTGAAACGAATGCTAAACCCGACACCTCCACACACCCAGGAAGATCCTGAACCCTTTTGCTGCAGGCTTGCAACCAAGAACGCTTGGTAGTTAGCCGCTCGTCCGCCAGGTAGCACGTAACCCTAAACCATAAAACCCCAAATCGTAAAACCTAAACCCTAAAACCTATAAACCCTAAACCCCAAAACGTAAAACCTACACCCTAAAACCTATAAACCCTAAACCCCAAAACGTAAAACCTAAACCCTACAACCTATAAACCCTACACCCCAAAACGTAAAACCTAAACCCTAAAACCTATAAACCCTACACCCCAAAACGTAAAACCTAAACCCTAAAACCTATAAGCCCTACACCCCAACACGTAAAACCTGAACCTAAAATCCGACAAGTCAAAAAGCAACGGCCTCGGACTTTTTAGGATCGAAGTACCTGGCCAAGGGTTCGAGGCATCCAGGTTCTTGTGTCTTGTTCCCTAAGGGTCCATGTGCTCATATAGTATATACATTGGGGTTAATGTAGTCCCTATATGGGTGGTTGTCAAAATTAGGGTCCCTTTTTGGGTCCTGATTATAATACGGCACCTATTATTTAGGCCCTAACTTAACTACCCATATAGGTACTTTAGGGCCCATGTATGTGCTATATGAGTACATGGACCCTTAGGGGTTATAGGGCTTAGAAGCTTAGTTTGGGGTTTAGGGTTTTTTAGGGCTTCGAGGTTTAGGGCTTAGAGGTTCGTTTGATGTGCCTTTACCGGACTTTGTAGGGATGTACGCGGATGAGGCGACCTTGGCAGATTGATTCGGAAGCTTTTTGCATGTAGAGTTTCGCAGTACTGAGCCAATATACGGGCCTTAGATGTTGTCATAGGGTCTTAAGGGGTATGCTGCTATAGTGTATAGTAGAAACCAGAAAGTTGGAACATCATGATCCTCATGCCCTTAAGGTAAAGCATAGGGGATCCCAGCACTATTCATCCAAAATCCATATTCCAACTTTCTGGGATTCAGTGTAACTTCCTGCAAGAGTGTAAGGGGATTGAAGACGTCGACGTAGCTGGACCAAGGGCTTCAAACTTAGTGCACTTTCGGTAACGGCTCCTTCTTGCGAGCTGCAATTAAGGAGGATCTTCCTTGCTTGGGTTCTGTACTGGAGTCCGCTCAAGTCAGGAGTCTGAAGCGTTCGTGGCTGGCCGAAAAGATGTCAACGGGCTTGAAAGTGCTTCCAAACCCTCAAATCCTAAGACGGAGACGCCGGAACCCTTTTGCTTCCACAACCTTGAAAGACATGGTTGGTTGCCAGCTTAGGAGGTGCTTTAACGCTTCCTTCATGAGATCAACTCAACAATAAATGCGGTTTATGGGGGTCTAAGGCCGCGAATGATGTTAGAGTTCTTCCTTAGGGGGTTCACAAGCTCAGGTGTCAAGGGTCGATGGGGCTTGGCTCGGCTTATAAGCCCGAAACCCTACGCCCACATCCCCAAGCCCCAAAATCCTACCATAGAGACACGCGGCTGATCCAAATGACTCTTCATCATGGATCTGGCATCGCTAAGGCTGCAGTTCTCCTGCATCTCAGGTGCTAAGCCCTGGACTCTACCGAGATTCCGGTCTCATTTTCCTCAGTAAGGGGTATTAGGGTCTATATTAGAGGGTAGTCGGGTGGTGAAGGCAACCTTGATACCTAAGCCCCAAACCGAGCCTAAACTCCCGAAAATCCCCCAAAGCAGGGTTTAAGGTGCTGGCTGGACTTTCGGCTTAATTAAGACAGGTGGGGCCTTTGGGATCCCCGCTGATATATAAGGCTTTTATAACCCTTTTGGGGGTTCTTTGCTTGGGGTTCATGGCTTAGGGTTCGGGGCTTATAGTTGAGGATGAATGGCTTCGGGTTCAGGCTTAGGGTCCGGAATCGCTGATCCAGATAAACTGAGACCCAATCGACCATCTCCTCGGCCCTCCGAAGCCTTTACTAGGAAACCACAGGCCATAGACTTTAGGGTTTAGGGTTTAGAGTTTATTAGGGTTTCGGGTTCAGGGTTTAGGACCGATACATGCCATACCCCTTGGCTCGACAAGAGGTTGAAGCCCACACAACTTGCCTTAAGGCTTCGATGCTTGTGTCAACTGTTCACCTCCGCAGTCCCAGGGGGCCTTACCGCTGAAAGCTAGACAACACATGACACGACTAGACACTACACCCAAAACCCTGACCCTTCGACCCAGTGTTTTAGGATCGACTTTCGTGTTGATGCGTTCGAGAAACCATGGAGCAAAGGATTGCGCGAGTGGTAGGGACGCGAGCTTCTGGCGGTGGTTTGCGCTGAAAGCTCAGGGGCTTAGGCGCACATTGACGTCGTTGCATGTTGCGTGCAGGCTTGCATTGGGTTTAGGACTAGGATTTGGTGGGCACATACTGCTCACTAACAGCCAACAGCCTCTCTCGGAACGAAGCAGCGATACCTCAGATAAGGAATTGAACACCAGGCTGTCCGGTAATTAATATAGGCACCTTAAGAATTAGAATAGGGTTTTGGAGCCCATTATACTATGTATTTATGATAAGACCCCCCCCCCCCAAAATAGAATTGGTATTTATATAGGCCCCTACCTCTAAAAGGCTTTAGAGCTCGCGCTTCGGGCTTTCTCGGCCGAACCAGACAAGAAGCGAGAGGACCCTGAGCCTGACGCCGCCTACCTATAGGGTCCTAGGGTCATACCCTACCCCTTGTTTCGGGTACTTATTTTCTGATATAGCAGATCCTAACCATAAAACTAGGTGCCTTTAAAAAGGGGTAGGGTATGACCCTTTAGGTACCTCCAACTCCGAAACGCTGAACCCCGAACCTCTAAAAGCACCATCATAATCAAGACCCTTAAATTAAAACCGACAAAGCCCTATGAGTATCTCCAAACGCACTCTAATCAAGACCCTAAAAATTCGACAAAGCCCTACAATTATCATCAAGAACCCTAACCCCCCAGGTACCTACTATAGAGGGTACTAGAGCGACTATATAAGGCCTATATAGTAGGTACCTGGGGGGTTAGAGGAAAGCCCTCAACCCTAAACCCTAAACCCTCAACCTACGCACCAGCAGCGGCTCCTGAAAGTGCGGCCAATCTCGGACGAGAAACTCCAAGGTTTGGAAAGGCTGGTCCTCGGAGCTTGCTTTAGGGTTTAGGGTTTAGGGTTTAGCTTTCATACAGGCATTATACCTGTAGTCTCCATTGCAGTTCCTTTTTTGGTTTAACCAATTATATATTAAGGATTTTATAAGGCATTCCCAAAAAGGAACTACAATGGAGACGAGAGGTAGGGTTCTGCGAGGGCTTCTAAAAAGACTGTAGAGGATGCTGCAAAGCCTCTGTTTTGGGGAAGGGGTGTGATTTTCTTGGTGGTCTGAGGGTTGTTTGTCTGAGGACCTAGGGCTATCGGCTGTCGGGCTTGAAACACCTCAACAAAAGCCCAAGAAGCTCTTTAGAATCCCTGAGACACTCCTTGTAAGCACCCTGATAGAACCCTCACCCCATTTGCTTATGGTCTTCTTGCTTCGGGGGACCTGTCACATGCTAGGGCTCGGCGTTCCAACTACTATGCTCTGAATGGTCCTTGGAGCCCACAGCCCTACTATTCCTTGGGAACTTGGACACTCACGGTTCGACCTCAAGGCTAAACTTAATGTGTAAGATAATATAGCAGAGTGCTCTACTTTTACAATACAACATGACTTAATCAACTACAGCACAGTGACACATACTACAGCATCGCAGAGTACAACGTTCTACGTAAGATATAATAGCAGAATACCACGTCAGATAGCACGTCTTTGACAACATCGCACAACAAATAATGTAGCATGGTATGATATAGTAGTGAAACAGTAACACACACAAGGCACAGCGTAATGATTCAAATAACAAAATTCAGCAGATTGTGACGTACTACAATCTAGCATGCCACAATACCGTATCAGCTTGCTGAAGGGATCTCCCGCTCCACCCGGTTCTCCGGAAGCCCTTGCGCCTTTGTCGCTACTAGAATAATTATAACGCTAATATTAATAAGTATTATGATTATAGTATTCAGGGCTACTCGACCCCGGGGGTGTAAAACGGTACGACTCGACTCTTACCCCGACGCCTTTCAGAACAGCCTGCAAAGCAACATCCGCACGATCTCTATAGGGCTGAGGGATGAAAGTCTGCGCTCCGGTGAGGTCTCAACCGAGCACATCCGAAAGTGCCTGAGTGCCATGAATCCTGAGAACCAAGTCCTAAGGCTGTAGGATTTAGCTGAGGCTTTGTATCAAGGGACTAAAGGTGGGACCCTCAAAGGGACCCTTGGGGTTATATAGGGGCTTTATGAGACTGTATAAGGTTATATCTATATATATATATATATAAGGGTTATATACCTATAGGGATTTTGGATCCGGGGTCCCTTCTAGGGGTCCCTCCTATTGTCCTTTAGTTGTACCAAGCATCTTTGCCATCCCTTAATTGTACCAAGCATCTTTGCCATCCGGCTGTGCCGACAGCTTCTGTGCTCTCAAGGCTGCACGTGCGAAGTCCGTGAAGTAAAGCCTGGAAGGAGCGGCCCGATTGAGTCTTGGGTTTAGAGTTTATGGGTTTAGGGATTTAGGGTTTAGGGTTTAGGGTTTAGAGTCTTGGGTTTAGGGTTTAAGGTTTAGGGTTTAGGGGTTTAGAGTTTATGGGTTTAGGGTTTAGGGGTTTAGGGGTTTAGGGGTTTAGGGGTTTAGGGGTTTAGGGTTTATGGGTTTGGGGTTTTAGGGTTTAGGAGTTTAGGGCTTAGGGCTTAAGGGGTTTAGGGTTTAGGGAAAAAGGGTTTTCATATCTGTGTTTTTGAGCAGTCTGTGGGTACCATGACCAAGAGTCATGAAATGTGAATTATGAACTGGTTTAGCGTTTGCTGCTCAGGGCCAGCATCGACTAAACTCTTTGCGCACCGCTGACTATCCTTGCCAGCCGCAGTGCATCATGCTAGTCTACCCTTCGTCTTGCCTAGTCTTTCCCACAACCCTAGACCCTAAACCCTAAGCCCTAAACCCTCTCTGCGGTAACCCTCCTCGGGGCTTTGCTGGGCGGTTCCAGTGGCAGTTCTAAGCTTCAGCTGTTCGGGCCCTGGACGTATTAGTCCATATATGTAGCCGCTGAAATTGAAGGAGGTCGGTGGGATGGGCCCGAAACCCCAAACTCCACACCCAAGACCATAAATACCCTGATGTGGACTTACCCTAAACCCTAGACCTTAACACCTACACCCTAAACCCTTAAACTAGGTTCCCAAGTAGCCCCTAAATTAATAATAAGGGTACCCTTTTTGCTGCTATTTGGTTTAATTAAGGGAACCCCAAAAGCAAGAGGGCAAAAGGGTACTACTGGGGAACCTAGTAAAGGGACTGAAAGGAACCCAAAAGGTTGGGACTTCAGGCTCTGGTCCGAGTTCGGCAGCCCTAAACCCTAAAAATATGATTTATCCCTAACCCCCCAGGTACCTACTATATAGGGCCGTAGGGGCTCTGGTACCCTATATAGTAGGTACCTGGGGGGTTAGGGTATCATCATACTAACATTGAAAAGGCTGATAATAATAATAATAATAATATTGATAATGGTCATAACAAGAGGACTGGTGACAAGAATACTAACAGCGGCAGTAGTAAGGACTATAAGGAGACAGCACAACTTGACTCCTTAACCCTATAATTAGTCTACATTGTAGTCCGTCCTTGGGTCAACCAAATTATATACTATATTATCCTAACCATAAAAAGGGTTAACCAAAAGCAGGAACCACAATGGATACTTTAAGGGTACGCCCTAAAAGCCCTCGTTGCTCAAGTTCAATGGGTTCAAGCAAGGGCTTTCATAACTAGAACCGGCTTTTTGTGGGGCATAATAGTCGCATTCTGTCAAGGAAGAGGCTTCTAGATTAACATGGACGAACCTACAGAGATGTATGGAGCCCGTATGCTTCTGAGAGGATGGCAGGTTCTCGATCTTGTCCTGCTGGATCTGCTTCGAGACCTTTACGCAGAGTGCCGATTCTAATCGAAGGGACGGAGTAATTTGTGTAAAAGTTGCGGGTGTTTGGTTTAGGGTTTCGGGTTTAGGGTGGCGATCCGAGTCTTGGGCTTACCCTGAAAGGGTCCAAGTACCTAGTAGTCATAGGGTTTAGGGTTTAGGGTTTAGGGTTCAGGGTTCAGGGTTTAGGGTTCAGGGTTTAGGGTTTGGTTTAAGGGTCCAAGTACCAAATAATCATATACTCTCGCAAATTTTAACCTACATAACTACGATCAGAACCCTAAGTACCTAATTATCGGGTCCTTTGGAACCCTGGCGTTGCGGGTGTATCATGCTATACTTCTCCTGAGACCAGAAACCAGATCCGACTTCCAAATTCTTCCGACTCCTACATCGTCCTGAACCCTGCGCAATGAATTGCACATCCTAAACCTAAGCTCCAAAGCCATCTACCCTGACGCTAAACCCTAATCCCTCTCTGAAACCGCAAACCCGAATCCATCTCTGAAGCCCTAAACCCCAATCCCTCTCTGAAACCCTAAACATCCTAAACCCTAAACCCCCGTCCCTCTCTGAAACCCTAAACATCCTAAACCCTATACCCCTAAACCCTAAACCCCAATCCCTCTCTGACACCCTAAACATCCTAAACCCTAAACCCTCAACTCTAGACCCTGAACCCTAAACCCCAATCCCTCTCTGAAACCCTCAACATCAACATGGAAACTTAAATCCTGAACCGTAAACCCTAAACCCTGAACCCTAAATCCTTGGAACCTTAAAGCTCGCGAAATCTGAAACAGATCTGAGGCTCGTTGTAGACAAGGCGTGAGGCCAGCAAAGTGGTGAGACCAAAAACCGTGGCACTCTGCTCCTGTTTGTAGGTTTTCGGGCTTTTGTTTGACAACAAACCTGGCAAGGTCTGCAAGAGATTCGTCTGTTTTTAGGGTTTACGGTTTAAGGGTTTTAGGTTGCAGAGTTTACGGGCTCTGGGGTTTAAATGCTTAGGGTTTAGGGGCTTGGTGTTTTGGGGTTTAGTTTATCACACGGAGGGTTCGAAGCACGAGTCTTTGATTATCAGGTACTTGGCACCTTGGGGCAGATGCTTCACGATCTTGACGCATAGGCTTGGGAATTTTGGGTTTAAGTGGTTCTGGCGTGTGGCACTTGTCGTTCGGAGTTTCACACTGAATGTGCTCACGGCTATTTCGCAACTATGGAGGAGAGTGTAGAGGGTTCAAGACTGTGGGCAATGGCTGCACATCGAAGCATGAGCTCGAAGGATTCCGCTTCAGCATTCGCAAGTCTCAGCCCTTGCGTCAAACGAGATCACGTAGTAAGAGCTCTTGTCGATCTCCCACCGCAATCATTCCCAGAAGATTCCAGAAGATTGCGAAGTTCACTACGGCTTCCCTGGTCCTCAGGCCAATCCTGCTACGCCTCGAACCCAGATGAAGCTGTACATGCGGCGTCAGCAATCCACCTTCACAGACATCCTCAGGAAGTCGCAACCCAAAAGCAAGGCCCGATCACCAAGGGCGCCAACTACCCGAGGAGGGCTTCTTGCATGAAGGCTAAACCTAACCCCTTAACTCGCCAAAACCCTAGGCTAAGTATGGTATAATGGGCCCCAAAACCCTATTCTAATTATATATCATGGCCCCAACTGCGTTTTCTGCTTGTTTCGCTGCCCCCATCCTTGCTCATCTTGGCATCCCAGGCCCCCTGGGTGTCCATGAGCAGGACAGCCACATCCTGTGGGCACGGCTTGGGGTTTCGTTTCTTGCTCTCACACAAACCAGGCAAGGCTCCTCGGCTTAGGGTTTAGGGTTGGGGTGTGGGGTGTCTCTTGTCCACTACTGCAGTATGCAGACTTATTGGAGGCATGGGGGGCTGTGGGGATCCGTAATAGTAAAGCGGTTCCAACACAGGCCATCTTTCTTGCCATCTTCATCCTCATCCAGGTTGCACCAGAGTCAGGAATTTATGATGTTTGGGGCCTCATAATTAGAATAGGGTTCCTCTACCTCGCTGTATGGAGACTTATGAAGGGACTACAGGGGAAATTATCACTAATCCGTCCGACCTCGAGATTATATTGCTCTCAGTTTCTCTAGGGAACAAACGAAGGGACTCTTGGTTCGTTTTGTTGGACTTCCCGCTTAACGCGACCCTACCTTAACCTACCAAACCCTACATTCCATATTAGGTTCATTATCAGAACCTACCAAAAATGAGGTTTTGGCAGGTTAGGGTACACCCTGCCACATCAGCCCAGCTTTCAGCATTGGCCTAGGGCTCAAGCGATCAAGGATCCCAATGGCAGGCCTTCTGCAAAAGAACATGTGTCTACATTATTGTGCTGGTGGTCGTACCGTATATTCAAGGGGTCGCAACTTACTTTTTTTGCCATTCCGGCCTCGCCGTCGGCCTTGCATACGAAAACCTCGGACCAAATCCAGATGCCCTGCGCCACGCGCTTTAGGGTTCAAGGAGACCCATTCATGCTTTGTGAGGGTTTGCTTTCACAAGGTTGTGAGGGGGCCTCATCGTGATTTCAGGAACGCTGAACAGGGCTACAGATTCTGGAGTCTCTCGCCTCATGGAGCATAATATGGGGGCCACATAATGAATTGAATAGGATTTGAGGTGGTACATTAGACCCGATAATTATACCCAACTGAGGAACCCTAGTAAGTTAGTAAGGATAAGTAAGGGTAAGTTTTTAAGCACTTGCAGTAGCCGGATCTGTGACTGTGCGCCACGTCCACAGTATAGCCAAACTCCCAGACTCGGCCCCAAAACCCAACAACCGGAACCTCAAAACCCTTACCTTAAGAACCCAAAACCTACTTTTTTGTAGGGTCCCTATAAATCCCATATTTCGAGTTTATATTAAGAACCTACAAAAAATTGGGTTTGGGGTTCTTAAGGTAATCCTTAAACCCCTAAGCCCTAAACCCCAACCCCAAAACCCTTAGCAAGCACCGGCCACCGACCCTAAACCCGAAACCCTAAAGAATCCCGTAAGACCCTACAAAGCCCCAACCTGAAACACCACACCTCAAACGGTTCTGCTTTGTTTGCGGGCCCTTTGCCAACTGCAGGTACGGTTGAAATCCCGAGATGAGGAAAAACCTATGTGCGGAGCCTCAAGAAGAACACTTCCAAAATTAATTGCGAAATAAACCTCAAAACACCCCCGCCCTGTCTGAGCCCCCGGTTTAGGGCTGAGGTTTTCGGTCAAAGCCTGAACCGTAGACACCTCACGACGAAAGCATGCCACAAACCCATATAGCCACGAGTGCTCAAGGCAAAGATTAGCCAACGCAGCCCAAACTATCGACCTTAACACAGATTAAGCGACCTCGTATTAGGTATGTACCCCTACAAGAGCCCTAACCCCGAAGCCAAAAACCCTGAACCCACCCTAAATTCCTACACCCTTCATCCCAAACACCAAACACTACAAAGCCTACCACAGTGAAGGAACCCTGAAAAAGGCACCCTGACAAAGCAAGGTTATGGTGGCCCCTGTAGTACCCTCCTAGTAGCCCTGTTCCAACCGTTCTTCAAGATCTTGAAACGGAACCTTGATAAAACACGATCTAAACCATAAAGCCTAACCTAATCGAACCCGCATCAGAAAGGAGCCCTTGAACAGGAAGTCCTTCAAAAAAGGAATCCGTTATAAAGGAGCCCTTTCTAAAACGGAACCCTTTCACAAGGCAGCCCTTTAACATTGCGGTTTAGGGTTTAGGGTTTAGGGTTAGCCAGCGCCTCGGTACACTTCTCCATGCCAGGGCGCCAGATAAATCCTTCCAAGCTTTCGTCGACGCCCTCGCGCCCTGGAGCGATCCGAGTCTTGGGCTTAGGGTCTTCCTTAAGAACCCAAAACCCGCATTTTTTGTCAGTTCTTATTATAAACCCTAATATGGGATTTATAGGGACCCTACAAAAAAGTAGGCTTGGGTTCTTAAGGTTGGGGTGATTTAAGAGATTTAGGGTTTAGGTTGAGGGTTTCGGGGCGAGGCTTTGGGCTTGGGGGACCTCTACATCCTGGACCACCCGCCGGAACACAGGACTTGCGGCCTGAAGGCGACAAGTCGAGGGAATGTTGCTGACCTTTATAGGGTTTAGGGTTTAGGGTTTAGGGTTTAGACACCGAAATCTGAAAGAAGAACCGTCACCTCCAAGAGCCACATCAATGACTCTTGCACTTTCCGCGCAGTAAACCCACCAAGCGTCAGAACGATTAGGCAAGCTTAGAAAACAACAACGGCGCATCTTGTGCACGAGAACTTGGAGGATCATGGGACTTCGTAGCTAGGGTTTTTAATAAGGTAACTCTAATTATAACCCCAATTAGGGTACTTATAACCCTACTTACTAAGTCCCATGATCCTCCAAGAAGCCTCTTGCGACTTCAGCTTTGCTCTAAGAGCAACCTACCTTAAGAACCCAAAACCCACTTTTTTGTAGGTTCTTGTTATAAACCCTAAATATGGGATTTATATGGACCTACAAGAAAGTAGGTTTTGGGTTCTTAAGGTAGAAGGAGTGAGCACCACCACGAATTGCCGACATGCGCACTGTATGACAAGATTGAGTTTGCTGTCATGTCGGTCCCCCTTCTCCGTAGAAAGGAGTAGAACATCTAACTCGAAAGAAGCACTACGCTACTATCTACAACTTGGCGTGCATTTCATCCTACATGGAATCAGAGATACAGCTGGATTGAAAGACACAGGATGGAGCCCTGCATGCCCTCTGAACCACAAAAGCCCTGATGCTTCTGCGCGTCGCAAGCGCAGTATATTGGGGCGCTCGCGAGCGCAAAGCCTCAAACACGTTCGAAGGTTTCGGGAATTTCGAGGACTTCCGCTCAGGCTTCGGCTTTGCCGCGCTGCAAGGCATGGCGAACTTCAGTTTTGCTTGGCGCTCACCCTGCCGGAGAAGGCCTTCTTCCCCACCTCTTCCACCACGCCCACGCTGAAGATGGGCAACAACCGATTAATCAGCTCCTGGGAACCATCCGACAACCGCAGCACCACTCGCTCCGCATCGTCGGTGCTGAGGAACCGATATTTGGGCACCCGGTGTGCAGGCTTCGGGTCATGCAGTGCAGAAAGGGGCCGCTGTAAGCAGCTATCACATCTACCTGTAGTCTCCATTGTAGTTCCTTTTTTTTGGTTTAACCAATTATATATTAAAGATTTCATATGGTATCCCCAAAAAGGAACTGCAATGGAGACTTTAGGTAGGTGCTGTTCCGCGATCTTACTTTGCTCCGGCCTTGACAGTAGCCGCCAAAGTAAGGGAACTGGACATCTAAATCCGGAACCCCACCCCAAATGGAATCATGGGGTATCGGGTCTCGGGTTAGGGTGTCCTAAACCCAAAGCTTGGCCCAGAACCCCAGCAGCAGGAATCCAGAGAGCCCAATACCCCTTAGTTCAGGAATATACCTTAAACTATGGAGCCTTAATCTCAACATATAAGGCATATTCCTGGTAATAATAAGGGGTATGCATTAAGTTATCGAGGCCTTGATATTATGATTTAAAGTATGTTCCATAATTAAGGTGTATATGTTACTTATAGGGGCCTTGATATTATGATTTAAGGTCTATTCCTTCATCTTATGATTTGCGGTCTATTACTTAATTAAAGAGTCGTGGGCTCTCTTGGAAGGAACCCTGAGCCCATTTTTTCACAAGGGACTCGACGGCTGGCCTTGCTGCCAAGCTAGACCCGCGTGACAGTACCCATGACTGTCGCGCATCCCCTACCCTAAGGGTCCAAGTACATAATAATCATATACTCTCCCAAACAGTAACCTACATAACTTCTATCCGAAACCTAAGTACCTGATAGTTGAGTCCTTTGGACCCTTGGGGCTAAACCCTGAACCCCTTGAACCCTGAACCCTAACGGTAGCCGCCTTCCAGGAGGCTGCCGCCACAGTTGACAGCCCAATCAGGGACTCCTCGTTCCATCACCTGGGAGTTTAGGGTTTAGGGTATAGGGCATTGGGTAAAGGGTCTATAGGGTTCAGGGCTTATAAGGTGCAGGGTATTGGGTTTAGGGTATTGGGTTCAGGGTTTAGGGTTTCGGGTATAGGGTTTAAGGTTTCGGGTATAGGGTTTAGGGTATAGGGTTCAGGGTTTAGGGTTCGTAAGGGTTCGACTAGAACCGAATAGCTACGGAATTTGGTCTGACGCTGCGATTTGGATTCTGTGTGTGGCTTTCCTCGTTAAATACTCAAAACCGCCCCTCCTGACCCCTGACCTTGACTTTAAATTTGTATGAGAACCCTCTATGATGAACAGAAACTCTGTGGCCTTCATGGCTCCGGCATCAGAGCTGGACATTGGGATCCTTCGTGCTGCTTGTGTCTCTTACTCCCCCAATAAGTCAGGGAAATAAAAGGTCAAACTTTTCAGATTACAAAATTATGCCTAAACCCTTCACCTTAAACCCTAACCCAAAAAACGTAAAGGTTGGGTTTTCTTTGGGGGAAGAAGGTCTGTCTCGTTTCATAAGCTCACGCAAAAGCAAGAAAAACTGTTGGGCCTGAGCGAGGCTACAGGAACGACACGAAACGATTGAGAAGAAGATTGCAGGGGCCTAAATAATTACGAACCCTAATTTAATTTTGGGGGTTCCTTATTTCAAGCATAGTATAATGGGCCCCAACACCCCATTCTAAATATCAAGGCCCCTTTATAAACAGAAAGCAGCACATCCTAACAGGAAGCTCCACATGCTGTTGGCACGAAATCCTTGACCGGAAGAAGCGCTGTCCTGCGAGGCTCACGCCTGTCCCTGCGAGTTGGCATTGGGGGGACCCTTGGGGATATCGACCCTCTCAACAAGTTCCCTCTCAAGAGAGCCATAAGTAGGGTTAAGGAGGGTCCCCTATAAGGTCTCCCTAATACTACCTAGGAGGCACTTGGTCCCGTTATCAATCCCGACTCTCGAACGCTACGTGCTGCCTGAAGACCGGCAAAGCTAAGTTGCACTGAAACCGCAAAACCCACACCCTAAACCCGAAAACACGCACACACACAGAGAGATACAGATACATCTATATATATATATATATATATGTGTGTGTGTGTATATAAATAAATAAATAAATAAATAAATAAATCCCGAAACCCTAAACCCCACAACATATACAAAAAAATATGTATATGTATATATATATATATATATGTGCATACATGCATACACATACAGAGCATGCTCGGAGCCCGGCCCACTCTGGAATCTCACAGTCCTGCTTAAAAGACCCAGGAGGAGAGGCCCCCGAAAGTGAGGAGTGCTGAAGAGTTAGTAGAGTTTTGGGATTTAGGGGTTTAGGGGTTGGGATTTAGGGGTTTAGGGGTTTAGGGGTTTAGGGTTTCGAGTTTAGGGGGTTTAGGAGTTTAGGGTTTAGGGGAGGTACTTAGGGTTTGGAGTTTGGGGATGCCCGTCCAGGGTTTAGGGCATGGAAATTATAAGATCCATAGATTTTGTGGAGTTTAAGGTTTAAGGCATGGCGTTTGGAAGTTACAGCTTAAGACTTGCGGGGGTGGAGTTTCAGGAAATCCTGGCTTCTGGTTTTGCCTTCGGCTTCAGGGTGTTTCATGAACGGTTACTCGGGCTCTGGTCATGGTCTGGCACTTTCCACTCTATAACCTGAGACGCTTAGTCGCAGTGAGAGGCAGATACCCATAAGATTGGTCTTCCAAGCCAATTTGTTTGGAGCAGAGACTGCAATGCACTAAGCCCTGACTGCCCTTAGCCAAGCTCCATATGCGAGAGCACACGAAGCCTGTTGCACTGTCCGCAACCACTAATCGGGGACTACTTGAAAAGACACGACCTTTACTCGATCTCGATAAGCATGACGACTGCAATCCTACATCTCATAGTCATGTAAATGAGAAACTCATATTCATGTAAAACAGAAATATCACATGGAAGCAGAAATCGACAGGACAACCGGCTGCTACAGAATTGCGCAAATCCGACTATCCCAAAATATGCACTTGCCAAGTGTGTGCAAAATGCCAACGATTATAACACTGCCATGCATGCTCCCCAAGGTACACCTAAAGTCTACAATCCTACTACAGCTAACTGGACGCGAAATGCATAACCTGTTGTTGATTATTAGCCTCTGTCATGGGATGCTTGCACTTACGCCAACCATGCAACATAGAGGCGATCCAAAGCAATGAGCTGCATTCTTTGGTATAGGTAGACTACCCAAAAGCCTGCAAACCTGAACTCTGCAACGTAAAGCCCAAACGCAACAGCTAAGGGCGTCGCGGGCCAATGATGCTCGGGATATAGTGACAGTCTAACCCCCGAAATAACCTCCACTATCCTCCGCTTCTGTCAGGAAATAATAGTCACGAGCCCTACAAGAAGTCGGTTTTGCAAATTCAGGTAGGGCTGATCCGGTTGGGGGTTGAAGATCTAAGCCTTAAGCCTCATGGATCTCAGTTTTGCATTTTTTGGTGGCTTATTGGGCGGACTTCGCCGTGAAGATTTGATGATGAATGCCGGAACAAGAGGCCCACACACTTCGGCTTAATAAGCCTCAAACCTGAAAAGGCTCTAGGACCCGATAGACCTAGACCTGACTCGCTAAGCATGAAACCCTTAAACCGAAGCCTTTTTGCGTTTAGAGTCTAAGGTGTAGAATCCTATCCCAAACGCCGTAAACTTTGTTCCCGATAAAGACTCAACTTGGGTGCTTGTGAATTTTGCTGTTCTCTGTGTACGCACATGCCCTCTACTGA